TGTCCCACTTCCGGCGGAAGTCCAGGTTCTTGGTCTGGGAGGGAAGCAAAGTTCACTAACATTTATTATACAGTCTGATCACCTCTGAGGGGGTAAAGAGGGGAAATCACTTGGCCTGTGAGGCCAGTGCAGAAAATTAAGAGAATTATACTATATCCTCTGTTTTCCATCCAGGAATTATGGATGTGCTTTAAGATAATCACTCTCAGTATGCCTCTAGCTACTACTAGAATAATTTCAGAGCACTAAAAGAAGAAATGACTTGATCTTAACCGCTCCTGAGATGATCATCCAGGCTTATGCCTTGAAAAATCAGACTCAAATGGGATTGAAACTGATGGATCTCAGACCTGGGAAGTGGCCCCTGACAAACACAGCAGCAGATTACACCTCCTTCTTCCAGAGGCCAAAAGAATCCAAGCTGCAATGTCAGACAAGGAAGCTGCAAAACACAGCCTGAGCTACAGAGACTGATTACCCTGCAGGAGCAGGGAAGGCTGTGCCTGTCTGCTCTCAGCAGTGTCTACGTGTTGCAGGCATCAAAGAGCCGAGCTTGCCATGAAATCACAGGCCACGGTGTGGGATTTCCAAGTGAGCACATGTACAAGCAAATCAGAACAAGCTCTGAAACCCTGTCTGTCAAGGCAGGGCTTGGAGGTACCAGGGAAGCACCTGTACAAAATCCACAGGTTTTGCTGTCCTCCTCCTGCAGCTTCACATAGAAAAGGGAAGAAACACCTCCAAGGCATGCTGGCCCTTTGGGAGCTCCACAGAACTATCTGGCAGTGACAGGATACTTTACTAGAATCCTGGGATGGTTTGGGTTGAAGGGACCCTAAAGACCATCTTGTTCCACAGGCAGGGACACCTTCCTGAGGCATGCTGGCCCTTTGGGAGCTCCACAGAACTATCTGGCAGTGACAGGATACTTTACTAGAATCCTGGGATGGTTTGGGTTGAAGGGACCCTAAAGACCATCTTGTTCCACAGGCAGGGACACCTTTCCTGTAGCCCAGGTTGCTTCAAGCCCCATCCAACCTGACCTTGAACACTTTCAGGGATGGGGCAGTCACAGCTTCTCTGGGCAACCCGTGCCAGGGCCTCATCACCCACAGAGAGAAGAATTTCTTCCCAGTATTAAATCTAACCCCATTCTCTGGGAGTGGGAAGCCATTCCCCCTTGTCCTGTCACTCCATGCCCTTGTTCAAAGTCCTTCTCCAGCTCTCTTGGAGCCCCTTTAGGCACTGGAAGGTGCTCCAAGGTCTCCCTGGACAGAGATTGGTGTTCAGTCTACCCCAGGCTGAACAGCCCCAGCTCTCTGTCTCCAGAGCAGAGGGGCAGCAGCCCTTGGAGCATATCCATGACCTCCTCTGGGCTCATTCCAACAGGTCTGTGCCTTTCCTATGCTGGGGCACAGGAGCTGGACACAGCATGTGCATGAAGATGAATTCAGGTGAGGCTGAATTCAGGTGAAGCTGGCATTGCAGAAACCAAAGACTTCTTTTTTGGGTGGATTTCACTCAGTCCCCAATGCTGAGGGCAGAAGTGGTTGGAGAATTCCTATTCCACTCACATCCACTCTGACCAACCCAGCTCAAGCTCTTCCCAGCATTTGCCCCATCTGCAGCTCAGCCCCCTACACCTGAGATCAGTCATGGTTTCACTCAGCCACTTCCTGAATTTCCTGAGCAGATAGCCCCGCTTTGGATAGAGCTGCATTTCCCTCAGCATGGCAGGGAGAGCCTCTCAGTTTCACATTAAAGAAAGGACAAGATGGATTTAAAAACACCTCCGGGGGAGAAGGACCCCCCTCACCCCACACCCCACCGCCTTCTCCGTTCAGCCAAATCAAGAATCCAATCACAATCCAAAGGACACAAATCCCATTTGGAGCTACAGCAGCAGCACAGCCATTTAAAGTTCTCTCCTCTGGCAATCCTTCAAATGGAACGAACAACTACTGATAGGGATGAAAATGCCTTGGGGAGGCGTAGAAAAATTCTCATTTATTCCCAGAGCTTCTTAAGCACTTTAAGGATGTCGTAACAGGTTTTATTAACCACCCTGAGCAAAAGAAAAGAAAATATCACTGAGTGTAAATTAACGTTTGGGGGTATTTTCCAGACTCTCCTGCATGCCAGGCATTATCACAAATCGTAGCTGGTGGGAGCCTGCAGAGGGGGGAGGTTTATTAGCTGCTTCTCTCTCCTGTTGCAATAAAAGGAAAATAGTCTTTTGCAGCTCTTTTACCAATCTGCCTCATCCAGGCGTGGGGAAAGGAATTAAACTAAACTGCGTGACAAGATCTTGGTTGGACAATATTTGAAGGGATGTCTCTGAATTGCTCTGGTGGAGGCAAAGGGGCTGTAAGCCCCCAAAATCTTTATCTCAGAGCTGTTTTGGGTGACAGAGAATACTGCCCAAATTAATAACAACGATTAATAACCAGAAGTGCCCCACAGCCTCCTGGTCCCTCTGGAGATGGACACCACTGGTGTGCTCAGCATCAGCACCAAAGCCTGTGAAACAACACAGGAGTCTCAAGCCAGGCTCAATCCAACAGGAATTCTCAGCTGGCAATAAGCCACAGGCCCCACCTCCCTCACAGGCAGACATCCTGCTCCTGACCTCCCCCACTTCATGGAATCAATCCTGGAATGGATTGGAAGGAACCTTGAAGACCAGCCAGTCCCACCCCCTGCCAAGGGTAGGGACACCTTCCACTATCCCAGGTTGCTCCAAGCTCCATTCAGCCTGGCCTTGAACATTTCCAGGGATGGGGCAGCCACAGCTTCTCTGGGCAGTGCCAGTACCTCACTTCTCAGTAAGTGACTTCAAGGAAGGAAGGATGGGCCAAAACCCCTCCAAAACACAGCCCTGTGCTGCTGACAGCTTTGGGATGTCACTGCAGGTGTTCCAACAGCCTGGCTCTCCACTCAGGTTACACCTGCAGCACCTACCTTACCCATGCCATTTTAACACTCACAGAGTCATTTAGGATGAAAAAACCTCCAGAACCATCAAATCCAAGCTGTGATAGATCCCCACCTTGTCACCCAGTCCAGAGCACTGAGTGACACATCCAGTCAGTCCTTGAACACCTCCAGGGATGGTGACTCCACCATGTCCCTGAACAGCCCCTTCCAGTGCTGGACAGCCCTTTCTGGGGAAAAAACTCCTCCTAATTTCCAACCAAACCTCCCCTACTGCAAATTTGAGGCTGTTTCCTCTCATCCTGTTGCTGGTTCTCTGGGAGCAAAGCCCAGCCCACACCTGGCTGCACCCTCCTGGCAGGGAGTTGCAGAGATGTTTCTCCATCAGGCCAGGAAAAAGCCGACCCTTTCCCTGGGGAGGGGAGGGGAGGAAAGGGAAGGGAAGGGGCCACCTGTACAAGCCATTGCCCAGACCCTGCAGATGGGTGGGGGTCCCTGCCAGGGGGCTGGAGGTGAGTGGGCACCTCCCCCCGGAGGCAGCTCAATCTCCTCATGCTGGGACAGACAAAGCTCTGGCCCTGGGACGGGAGGATCACAGAACCACCGCGATTGGAAACGTCCTCTGAGATCATCGAGCCCACCCTGTGACCCAACACCACCCTGTGACCCGCGCGAGGGCTCCGAGTGCCACGTCCTGCCGTGTCTCAAACACCTCCAGGGACGGCGACTGCACGGCTTCACTGCGGGCGGGATCGCGCTGGGGCCACCCCGCTCCCACCCCGAAGGTATCGAGAGAACCCTAACCTCCCACCGCCCACACACACAGCTGTATAGAGCAGGGATGAGCCCTGTCCCACCCCACACACACCCGCCCACCGCGGCACCCCCGGCCCCGCCACATCCCTCATCCCGCGGCCTGGCAGCGGCCCCGAGCGCGGCGCGGCGGGGCCCTGCCCCCGGCCCTGCCAAGCCCGGTAGGAGCAGCGAGGGCGGCCGAGCGGCCGTCAGCCCACACTCTGAGGACAGCCCACACTCTGAGGGCACCGCGGCGGCAGCACCTACCCCGCTGCCCGACGCCATGGCGAGCTGAGGGCACAGCACCGGGAACTGTCGCGCGGCGCCGTAAAGCGCGGCCGCCCGCGCTGTCACGTGCCCCGCCGCGGTCACGTGCCGGCGCTCCCGGTGTCCCGGTGCCGGCCATGCTGCGCCTCGGCCCCTTGGCCGCCGCCCGATGCCTACCGGGCCTCGGGCCGCTGTGCCTCGCTGGGAACCGCGGCAGCTTCGCCCGGTCCTGGCTGCCGGCCGGTGACCGCGGACCCCTGTCCCGGCAGGTGCGGGCGGCGGCGGGTGGCGAGCGGTTGCCGGTGCTGAAGACACCCAAGGTAAAGGCGGGGGGCGGGAGCGGCGCCGGTGAGTACCGAGTGTTCCCCCGCGCCCTTGCCGCTGACGGCCGCTGTGTATCCCGGGCAGGGCACCCGCGACCACCCGCCGGCGCAGGCGGCGCTCCGAGAGCGGCTCCTGAGCGCCGTGGTGTCCTGCTTCAAGCGGCACGGGGCGGCCGCCATCGACACCCCCGTGCTGGAGCTGCGGGTGAGGCGCGGCGGGAGCTCCCTTCGCCCCTGGTGTGGGGAGCGGGCCCGGGGGCTGTGGGTCCCCTCTGTCCCTCCTGTGGGACCGGGGAGCGCCCCCCGTCCCCGGGGCTTCGGACGGTTTTGGGAGCTCCCTCCGTGCGGGGCATGGCCAGGTGGGGAGGGCAGCTGGACATTCACTCTTGGTTCTTTTTGGGGGGGACGGGGAGGTGGGCTCAGGTCCGAGGGGGCTGGAGGGGGTTTGTGTGTAATGCCCGGTTCGTGGGGACCCTGCTCTGTGCCCCATCTCGGGGGACCCTTCAGCCCAGAGCCACCCCGGTCACCAGCCCCTTTGCCCCTCCCCAGGAGACGCTGGTGGGGAAGTATGGGGAGGGAGCGAAGCTCATCTACGAGCTGCAGGACCAGGGAGGGGAGCTGCTGGCCCTGCGCTACGACCTCACCGTATCCTGTGCTCCCAAGGGGATGGTGGCACCTTGAGGGGATGGTGGCAGACCAAGGTAGTGGCCACCTCTGCCTTGAGGGATCGCTCTTACCCTGGCCTGCCTGCAGGTCCCGTTGGGGTGGTGGCAGCCCCCCTGGCCATCTCAGCTGGTCTGGGGCTGTCATTGTCATGACTCCACACCATCTCCCAGCCAGGCCCACAGAAAAGTCCCTTCCCGCTGTGGACCTGCACCCGTATGTTCCACTGTACTGGTTCTATCTCCTCACACTTACAGTCCCCACCTCTGCTGTGCCCATCCCACCTTGCTAGTGCCACCTGGAAAGGTGTTTGCTGCAGGTGTCCATCCCAGGCTTTCTCAACCTCCACGTCTCAACAAATCTCTCCTTCAGTGTCCATGTAGCTGTGCCATGCACTGAATTCCCACTGATCCCACTGTGAGAGGGTGGAATGATGAGAGGGTGTCCTTGTGTATGTGACATTGTCACACAGTGGGTCTGGAGGAGGAAATGGAGCTGTCCCAGTGTTGAAGGAGCTCTGGTGGTTCATTGTACTCATCGTCAGCCTGGGGGATGATCTCCTCAGAGGTCGTGGAGTTATAGAGTATGACAAGTTGGAAGGGATCTGGCAGAACTGTTGAAGTCCAGCTCGTGACCCTGCACAGGATGCCCCAAGAATCTCACCATGATTGTGAAAAAGTTGGGAAGCAGCTGGCACAGGGAAGGGGCAATGGGAGGCTTTGGGTTCAGCTTCTACAGCTCTGGGGATCTCCACGTTCCCATCCTTAACTCCTCGGGCCCAGGTGCCCTTTGCTCGCTACCTGGCCATGAACAAGATCACCAAGATGAAGCGCTACCACGTCGCCAAGGTGTACAGGAGGGACAACCCGGCCACCACCCGCGGCCGCTACCGCGAGTTCTACCAGTGCGTGAGTGTTGTGGTGGCCGCTGCTGCCACCAAGGCCACGAGGCCAGCAGGGTTTTCCCACTCCAGCTGCTGCAGAGCAGCAGGGTGTGCCTGGCTAAGGCCCCCCCTGGCTCTGCCAGGAGCTCCCATCACTTTTTCTGCCCCCAGGACTTTGACATTGCTGGGCAGTTTGACCCGATGATTCCCGATGCCGAGTGCCTGAAGATCGTGCACGAGATCCTGAGTGACCTGCAGCTCGGGGACTTTGTCATCAAGGTGAGACTGGGTGGGTTCTTCTGTGGGAAGCAGTGGTCATTGTTCTGTGGTTTTACACAGTAGCACCTGCTCCCACTCTAAGGCCTGACCCAGAAGTTCATCCCATGTCTCTGTCTCCTCATGGTGTATATGCCAAGGCTGGACCTCAGCTTGGGCATGCCTTAAGCTGGGAATACCAGGAGTTCTCTTGAGGCTGCAGTCAGCAGAGTTCTCTCCAGGACTAACCAGAGTCTGCAGAATTCCAGTAGCTGACTAGATCCATATAGTCACAGGGTGGTTTTCTTACCTCTACACCTTCTCTTCCCATGGAATTTGGGTGCTGGGAGAAAGGCATGAAGAAATGCCAATAGCTGCAGCTTCCCACACACTAGGAAGAAAAGAAATCACATCAGAGGGTGCCCCTGAGGTAAATGTGCCTCTCCCTCCCCCAGGTCAACGACCGTCGGATCTTGAATGGTGTGTTTGCTGTCTGTGGTGTTCCAGAGAGCAAGTTCATACCTGCCTGCTGCACCGTGGACAAGCTGGACAAGGTCAGCATTGGGCTCATGGGGAGACACTTCTGGTCTTGGGATGGATGTCTTAGGCTGGGCAGTGTTGTGGCTGTTCTTGTTGAGAAGAGTTTCACAGCAGCTGAGTTGGGGTCTGTAAAGGATTTGAGGAGTTCTTGGGCCTGGGTAAGAATAAAGCCTGGTGATTTGTTAAAAATTCCTGTGAGAGAGAGGCATGGTTAGTAAGATTGCTGACTGTTCCACACAGTTGTGCACATGTGGGCTGATGGAGGCAGTGGGTGAGGAGAACGTCCTGCAGCAATTGATGCCCTTCTCTCCCCCCACAGGTGCCATGGGAAGAAGTGAGGAGTGAGATGGTGGGAGAGAAGGGGCTCTCTCCCGAGGCTGCGGATCGCATCGGGGAGTATGTCCAGCTCCACGGTGAGCACCACGGGGTGCTGCCCTTGGCCTTGTTCTGGGCTGGGGGTGGAAGGTGCAGGGCACAGACCCGGCTGGCCGGGGCCACGGTGCCGGGCGCCGCTGCCCTGGCACACCTGAGGCATGGCTGGTCCCCGCAGGTGGGCTGGACCTGATCGAGCAGCTTCTCCAGGACCCAAAGCTGTCCCAGAACAAGGTGGCCAAGGAAGGGCTGGGGGACATGAAGCTGCTGTTTGAGTACCTGACCCTGTTTGGCATCACAGGGAAGGTGAGGAGGTGTGGGGGCAGGAGGGGCTGCCCGGGTGGGCCCTGGCGAGCAGGCGGTGACGGGGCCGCCCTTGTGCCCTGCAGATCTCCTTCGACCTGAGCCTGGCGCGGGGCCTGGACTATTACACGGGGGTGATCTTTGAGGCTGTGCTGCTGCAGCAGGAGAAGGAGCACGTGGAGGAGCCGGTCAGCGTTGGGAGCGTGGCTGGGGGCGGCCGCTATGACGGGCTGGTGGGCATGTTTGATGCCAAGGGCCGCAAGGTGCCCTGTGTGGGGGTCAGCATCGGCATCGAGCGCATCTTCTCCATCCTGGAACAGAGACTGGAGGTAGGTGATGCAGGTAGTGCATTGGGGAAGGCTCTCGGAAGCCAAATATTGTTTATTATTCTCCAGCTCCACAGTGCTCAAGAGAAAATAATTTTGAGGGAGAGGGTGGTGCTTCCCATGCCTAAATATCGATGCACAGAAGACAAGAGTCCTTTTGTGCAGCCCGTCAGGATGCAGGTGTGGGCAGCTGAGGGCAGCATTCCTTAGGAGATGTCAAGGAAATGTTAGGAACAGCCTTGAGCTCTGGGCCTGACTCTGAGCTTTGTGCCCCAGTCACTTTATTCTCATGTCTTGCCTCTGAAGTTTTCTGTCGTGGGGATTCTGCAGCAATGAATTTGTAACAGCTCTGAACATACTCTAATAAACCCCAGGAAAGCCTCTGTGGAGATTCATCATTCTGTGTTTGGTTCCAAGCCTGTGATTCCTTGCAAGTGAAGCTTAGGCAATGTGTTTGTACCTGAAGAATCAAAGGAGACTGGGAAGCTGTCCAGGAGGTTGGCCAGGGTCCCCAAGGAACAGCAGCACACAATTAAGTAGTGTGACACAATGCAGAATCTCTGGGGGGCTCATTAAAGGTGCCCAGGTTGTCACTGACTGAGTTAAGGTCTGGAGATGGATGAGGTGAGGTGTTGTGAGCTGCAGATTCCCACTGAGTCATTCCCATCAATGTCCCTTGTCTGTCCCTTCAGGCTTCTGGGGAGAAACTTCGAACAACTGAGACCCAAGTGCTGGTGGCTACACCGCAGAAACACCTGCTTGCTGCCAGAATGAAGCTCATCTCCGAGCTGTGGGATGCAGGGATCAAGGTAAGGAATGACTTGGGCTTGGCAGTGTCACAGGTGAGGGAGGGAGAGCCTGAAGGGAGCTGTAGCACAGCAAGACCAACTCCATTAGTTGTGTTTCTCTCCAAGATCTGGGCCTGTCTGAGATCACAGAGTCATTCAGGTTGAAAATGACCTCTAAGATCATCAAGTCCAACCTTTAGGTCTAGGCAGCAGAGAAGAACAGCCCAGAGCAGTAAAGTGATTGCCGCAGGGTTTGGTTTTGGTGCTTTACTGCAGTATCCATCAGAGCAAAATTGGGTTAGTGGTTCACCCTTCTCATTCCCTCCTAGGCAGAGATGCTGTACAAGAAGGATCCTAAATTGCTGAAGCAGCTGCAGTATTGTGAGGACACAGGGATCCCCCTCGCTGCCATTGTGGGAGAGCAGGAGCTGGCAGATGGAGTTGTCAAGCTGCGAGATGTTGCAACAAGAAAGGAGGTGAGAATGCCCTTTTACACCAGATTGTAAAGTACTTCCAGACTCTGGAGATCACGAAGAGCTCTGGGTTTTCTCTCAGTGTTACTTTGGGAGGCCGTAACACAAATCTATTGGGTGACTCCAGAAAACCAGTCACAAACTGCATTGGTATCCTCACTAGGTCCTTAAAAGTGCTCTTCTCTACTGCTGCTCTGTCTGCTTTGTAGGTTAATATCCCCAGAGAAAAGCTGATTGATGAGATCAGGAGAAGGCTGGAGCCCTGAGGACTCCCCTGGCTGGAGCTGCTTGGCAGAGCTGCTGCACAGCTGGAGCCCTGCAGCGCCCTCAGCCCCTCCCTGCAGCTGCGGCCTGCTGACATCCACTGGCCTAAGGCTCATTGCCTCGGCTCGGGCAGTGAGAACTGAGGAGTAAGACGGTTTGAAAGGCTATGGACGGTGCAGTCACCAGGTTAACCTGATGGTTAGCTTCTCTGAAGGCCAAGTTCGTGGGTTCCTAATCCTGCAGTCCCTGTACAGCCATTTCCGTCACCCTAGGTGGTGGTGGCACAGATGGATGCGGTGAAGCTCAAGCAGGATCAGGTGGAATCCGGATTTGGGAGGGGGAATCCGTGGTGTGTTGGGCACCTGCCGGCTCAGGCTGGGGGGCAGTGGAAGGGCACCCCCGCCCCGTTCGGGCAGCGGGGCCGGGCGCTGCCGGCGGGCGCGGAGCTGCGGCAGCGCCCTGGAGGAGGTTGTGTCCCATCACCGGCGGCAGCAGCCGCGCGGGCCGGGGCGCGCGTGGCAACACTGTATTTTTCTATATTAAACAAAAACCCCGATAATCAACCCAAACCGCGCCTCCGCCTTTTACTTCCCCGCGGTGGCCGCGCTGCGCCTGCGCGGCGCTGGCGCGGGAGTTGCGCATGCGCGGCGCTGGCGCGGCCTCGGCATGGCGGAGGAGGCGGCGGTGCGGGCCCAGGCGGAGACCGTGCGGAGGCTCAAACAGGACAAGGCCGATGCTGACGAGGTGCGGGGGCTCGGGTGTTCCTGGGAATGGCGTGCTGGGGGAGCAGCAGCATGGCTGGGAGCGGCGGGGAATGAGAACGGGGGCGCCGGCGGTGTTGGAATGGGCAGGAGGGGCTTGGGAGAGCTGAGGGCGCCGGTGCTGGGAGAGGCTGCGGGGCGGTGGGTGGAGAACTGGGAGTACTGCTGAGGGGGCTACTGGTGAGGGGGCTACTGGTGAGGGGGCTACTGGTGAGGGGGCTACTGGTGAGGGGGCTACTGGTGTGGGGGTTACTGGTGTGGGGTTACTGGGCCAGGGCTGGCGGCATTGGGAAGAGAGGGGTCGAGAAGGGTGGCAGTGCGGGGCTGGGAAGTGGCAGGGCTGAGGGTGCAGGGGAGACTCCTGGTGGGAGCTGCTGATAGCGGTGTTCGATTGAATGGAAGGATGCTTGGGAGAGTTAGGACTGGGAGGAGGATGCTGGAAACTGCTAATGCTGGTGTGTGTAGCAGGAGCTCCTGGTGGTGGGGATAGGAATGGAGAGATAGCTGTGGATGGTAATGGAGGTTGTGGGAGTCAGGGAATGGTGGGGGTGTTTGCGTTGCTGAGATAGAGGTGCTTGTATGAGAAGTGGGAAGTACTGGAGAGGAGCAGGGCATGTCCCTCTGGTTGCTGAGAAACCAGGAATAGTGGGTGCATTGAGGTTGTGGAGTCCCGGGCGCTGGGAATGCTGAGGTTGAAGGTACTGGGGAAGGCAGTGGCTGGGCCTGGTGGGTGGTCTTATCCCCAGCTCCCTCCTTGCTCCATCCCCAGATTGCAAAGGAAGTGGCAAAGCTGCTTGAGATGAAGGCGCAGCTGGGGACAGATGAGGGGAAACACAAGTTTGTGCTGAAGACCCCAAAGGTAACTCCCCTCTCCTGTGCCTCTCTATCCATGTGCTCCCCCAGACACACAGCCAGCACCCCCTACGCTTCTGTGAGCCAAAGTCCAGCATGGCCACACCTGTCTTTGTCTACACTGTTTCTGTTTCGACTTTCACTTTTAGCAGCAAGGGGGTGAGGGATGAAAGCATTCCCTGACAGCATTCAACCCAGATACCCACCACCTTAGAGACTTCTGGGTGCTTCTGTGACATTCCAACCACTGCTGGTGTGGTCAGAAAATTCCCTTCTAATCAGTCCGTATTGTAGCTGCCCAGTGTGAGAGGGCTCATATCTGTCCTTGGTCTGAGGGGCTCATTTACTGAACAGCTGCTGGAATTTCTGTGTCCTCTTGTGGAAGGACCCTTCCTTTACAAGTAGTTTTTCAGCCTCCAGGCTCCTAAGAATAGTGTCCACAATGCAATTTCTGCTGAAATACTTTGTAACCTAAATGTTTCATCACTGGCAGTTGATCAGAGAGCACCTGCTTCCATGCTGTGGTGTGGAGACAGTTATGAATCTGTTCATTAACAAACCAGGCTATGGTGATGCCCCTGACATAGGAAATCATAGACACATGGAGTGGTTTGGGTTGGAAAGACCTTAAGCTCATCTTGTTCCACCCCCTGCCATGGCTTCCACTGTCCCAGGTTGCTCCAAGCCCCATCCAGCCTGGCCTGGGACACTTCTAGAGATGAGGCAGCCACAGCTTCTCTGGGCAGCCCCATAGGGAAGAATTTATTCCCAATACTTAAAAGTCTCAAAACTGTCCTTTGTCCGTTTTCTTTATGATATGTTTTGTTGAATGTAATTGTGGTGTGATGCCTGGAAAGTGAAAGGATATTTCACTGTTTAGAAGTATGGAGAAGGGGATTTTGTAGCTCAGTTGAGTTTCCAGCCCATCTCAGGCTTGTCAATGGCAGCTGAAGGCCACCTGAGTGATCTGTGGGTGGGGGTGCTTCCTCCTGCCTAACTGGTTTTATAAAGTGCAAGTTGGAAGTCTAGCTAATAACAATGATTTTTATGTTACTGAGAGCATGAAGGTGGTCATTGAAGTAATTCAGTGATCCTTGACACCAAAGAAATGGAAAGAGTGCATGGCCCTGTGAATTGCAGACAGACATTTCACAGGTGTTGCATTTTGAAAGATGATTTTTCTCTCTGTTTGGCAATTGCAGAGCTGATGGTTGTTGCACAGTTTCAGAGCATGTCTGTCCTCTGTTTCCACCTTTGGGGTGGCTCACTGGGCAGGGTCTGGCTAATAGGTCTGAATCAGAGGTGAGGACAGGTCCTGGTTGCACTGTCAGGCTTGAAAGCACTGAATTCTGACTGCTGGATCTGTTTTATCTCCTTTGCTCCCTGTACTGTGAAACTCCTGACTTAGGTTTCACTCTGCAGACCACGGCAGACTCTCTCTGAGCTGTGTCCTGATGTTTTTCAGCGTTTTTAGTGCTGTTGACCAATATCTGGTGTCTGGACCTGATCTCTCTGGCTTTGTGAGCAGTATGGCAGCATCTTTCTCATGCCATGCCTCTAACCCAAAGTGTGCTTTGCTCCTTTTGTTCCCTCATGCCAGGGCACGCGGGATTTCGGCCCCAAGGAAATGGCCATCCGTGAGAGGGCCTTCAAAGCCATCATCTCCTGCTTCAAGCGCCACGGGGCCGAAGTCATCGACACGCCGGTGTTCGAGCTGAAGGTGGGTGAGGACACAGCAGGTCGGCTGAGCTGCTGAGGATCCTGCAGCTCAGAGTGTTGAGGGCTGAGTATCCTTCTGTTCCTAGGCATTCTTCCTTTCTCTCCTTGTTTTCTGTGTGCTCTAGGGCTGATCCCTGACACTGAAGATGCTGTTTGTTTGTGTGTTGTTTTGTTGCAGGAGACACTGACAGGGAAATATGGTGAAGACTCAAAGCTCATCTATGATCTAAAGGATCAGGGAGGAGAGCTGCTGTCCCTGCGCTATGACCTGACAGTATCCTGCCACAGCTGGTGCTGAGGGGCCTTGGCAGTCCTCCTTTTGGGGCAGCACTGTCCTGAGTGGGAGGAGGGACCCCAAACTGACAGGGAGAGCATGAGCAGGCAGTGTGGTTCAGTAGTGCAGAATCCTTGCTGAGTTATTCACTGTGCATTGCTTCTGTTTGGTGAAGGAACGGTTAGAGTCATGGAATATCCTGAGCTGATCCCAAGGATCATTAAGTGCAACTCCTGACCCTGCACAGGACACTCCAGCCAAGTGCCTGAGTGCATTTTCCAAATGCTCCTTGAGCTCTCTCAGGTCTGGTGCCACTACCACTTCCTTGGGGAGCCTGTGCCCAACAACGCTCTGGGGGAAGAACCTTTTCCTGACATCTAGCCTAACCCTGCCCTGACACAGCTTCATGCCCAAGTCTGTGGAAGTACAGAAGATCTGTACTGAGTGTGGTTTCTCCCAGGCAGGGTTCCCAGAGCAGGCTGCTGCAGTACACAGCCCACGTGACACTGAGATCCAGCCTAAGGTGCTGCTGGAAGAAGCCTGAAGGGACACTTCAGCAGCGTGTGTGGGGACCTTGGGGAGCTGGGATAAGTCCAGCTGTCTCTTAGCAGTCCTTTGCCCCTGGGGTGCTGGGTGGGAGGCAGTGAGGACCCAGTGCTGCCTGTGACTGATAACTGGGGGAATGATCCCTTCTCGTTGCCATCCTTAACTCTGTCTCAGGTGCCCTTTGCTCGCTACCTGGCCATGAACAAGATCACCAACATCAAGCGCTACCACATTGCCAAGGTGTACAGGAGGGACAACCCGGCCATGACCAGGGGCCGCTACCGCGAGTTCTACCAGTGTGTGAGTGTGGCTGTGGGCAGGGACACTGCTGGGACAGGCTGTGGCTGGGCAGCGCCTGTGGACACGTAGCACTGTCAAAATAACAGCTGAGTTACCCTTCCCTGTGCCTGTGGAAAGCTCTGAAGGATCCACTCATCTTCTCCTTAGTGTGTCCTTATGAGTGTGAAAAACAACTGGGCAGTGGGAGAGTGGGTGTGACAGCTGTGACACGGTGCTGGCGTGGTGTGGAACTTTGTCACAGAGCCCCCAGGTATCACCTCCTTTGCACTGTATGGGAGGGCAGCTCCTTGCTCCATCCCACAGTACTTGCTGGATGGGTGGTGGGGAAGAATTTCCTTCTGACCCAAATCTGGCAACAGTTCAACTCTGGGTGTGTTAGCAGGACATGCCAACCAGGCAAGGCAGTAGCATAGGTACTTCCCTTCCATGTTTGGTCAATTTTAACTTCAAAGGAAGGAAAAACCCAGAGGCCAAATTACAGAACAAGTAACAAAGCAATTTCCTTCATGGTTCTGTCGTAGTAGCCCTAAGGAACAGCTTTGCTCTGCTCTACTGACACAGTCCCCAGGGACTCGTATTGCAAACAATTTCTTTTGTTTGAGAATATTCCTACTTCATTATACAACCCCTGGGAATACCTTCCAGCTTTGGCTTGGTGATTCCTGTTTCCAGATGACTTGGGGTCATTGCCTCCTGTTTCATTTGCTCCAAGATCTCACTCCTAGGATAGCTGGAAATGGTCTTCTAATATCCAGGCTAAATTTATTTGTATCTGATTGTTTCCTTCCTCTCGTTTAAAGAGTTCAGCTCTTAAAATAATAGCTATCATCCCCTGATATGTATTCTTCTCCTTCCCCAGGTAAACATTTGGGAAATGTTTAGAGAAATCTTCCCCTCCTTAGGCCACATAAATCATGCTCTGTTACCTTTGTTACCTTTTCTCCTTGGATATCTTTTCATTCTTTTCTCAGCCTAGAACCTTTTCCTGCAGCTTTTCTTCAGTGTAATTCACCAGCCCCTGTTTTTTTTTTTCAGTGGGATTTCATCTGTGCCATTTACAGCGATGTTGGCACTTTCCTGACTTCCTGTACACTTCCTGTACTTCCT